GTTCTCCACCTCCACGATGAGTTACTGGAGTTAGTGATGAGGTCGGTGCTTTGTGTCATGAGATCGATACTTTACGTGAAGATAATGGTGCATGTGAGGTTCGGCTTTACGTGGTGAGGAGGATTTTTACGCGATGACAATGGTGTTACGTGGTGAGGTATCTACTTTACGTGATGAGGTTGCCGCTCTACGCGAGTTTTTATCGTTACAGAATGAGGTTCATACTCTACACATGAGGTAAATTTGTTTAATACTATACTAAAAATGCAAATAACCTTTTTTCGGCATTATTTATTTATTGATTATGTATTAATTTATTTTAACGGCCCGATAAGGTAGATGCTTTACGTCAGGTTTTTCTTGCACGACAGGGTTCACGTATCAGACGTCGTGCACGTGCTATTACGTCTCGTTCACCACTAGTGCCAAGACTCTAAGAAGAAGACTGATGCACTTATCATCATTCAAGACGCCTCCTATCATTCAAGAGGCCCTCTCATCATCAAAGAGGCCCCTCCCACTGTTCAAGAGGCCTCTGTCATCGTTCAAGAGCCCGATTCACATGGCGTCATATGTCGACATATTGATAAACCCCTCCCGTGCCCTATATGATGGATGCGAGTTGGCTTTAGTATATTTTACCGGCCAGTACCATTCCTCAGCATGAGAGGGAAACACTACCGGACACAATTACGGATAATACCCTTTGGCTAAGACCAGTTGATTTTCTATATGAGCGGAGCAAGGGGTGTTATTCTGACCTATGTCAACTCGACAATGTTTGCACTTGTTTCTTGATCGGTCTTGGTGGGGTATTTATTAGGGGTTGAAGATAATGGCTATCTCGAAGGGGTGGTAAGTCTTATATTCTTCTTATTGCATTTGATTAATTTTTTAAATTATTAATAAATTCACTAATATATGTATTTTTTTTAAAACAGTATATTGATGCGTGGGTGTCACGTCTTCTAATAATAAGGAAATTGAGGAAAATAAGAAATACTCGATGGACTATTGTCGACGTCTTTTCACGTAGCTCACTTGAAGGATCCGAGAGATGCTTCATATACGTTGGGTAATGGAAAAACTAAACTTTATCCTGCGTGGTGGGGGTCGATAAGGTTAGTATTTATTTTTGAATTTTTAAAGGTTGCATAAATTTTTTTGATGTGCGTAATTATTTATGATTACAGGTGTTTATCCCTGTTTTGAAATTCATCATTGGCTTCTTGTCGAGCTTCAGCTCCCATCCCTGAAGACAATGGTATATGACAGCATGTTGAATTAATACCATTGTCTGATTTGAGAGATATTTTGTAAGGGATGGAGCGCTCATTTGGCGAAATACTTGAACGCGATTGATTATTGGACTAATTCTGGAAACAAGAAGCCAAAAAAGTTCAAAGTTACAATGATCAGAGATACCGCGCCATAACAAATGGAGGGAGCCAGAGGGATTTTGGTCCTCTTATTGCATGTGCTTGGAGCTTTGACGACATGAAGTAAACACCCTCTACCTCCCACAGATAGAGATAGAACTACAGTAGGCTTATGGTTCGGCATTTTATGGCTCGAACGATATATGCGAGACGTTGCCTACCTGCATCTGCGTGCTAAGTTTGCATAAACAATTGATAAGTTTGAGCAAGTGTTGTTAACATATATACTCTTTGTTGGTTTGAAAATGTTTGGTTAAGTACCTAGAATTCAATAATTTGTGTTTGTTGGTTTTAGATGTGTAGAAAGTGTTGTTTGATCAAATGTTTGGTTTCTGCAGGTTATTCCTGACGTGAGCTGCGTGAAATTGATGTATTTGTGCATAAACAACAGTCTGGGGTACATTTTTTTGCTTGTTTAATTGAATTTTGCATTGAAAGTTGATTTTTTAATTGATGAGGAAATAAGAATTATTTTTTGCTTGTTAATTGATTTTAAAGTTGATTTGTTTAATTTGATGTGTAAATAAGAATTATTTTTTTGCTTGTTTAATTGATTTGTAAAAGTTGATTTGTTGTTTTAAATTCAATCTGCATTATGTTGAAGGCAAAAAGACCTGTTGAAGGTACAAATTCGCAACGAAAGTAAATTCGCGTTGCGATTTTCGGTTTGGATTTCGCGTTGCGAATTTGACTTTGCGTTGATCGCAACATACAATATCAAGTTATATACAACATCAAACACATTTCAAGCTATAAATACAAGCTAAGGACGCTTGAAAAGCAAGAGACAACTATCCAAGCAATCAAACACAAGAGAAAGTCCAACATGATAACAACTGAACAAATCATAGCAATGTTCAAACTCAAGTTACTAATAAATGTCTAACTGAAAATGTATGCATTCACACATAAAATACACATAATACAACATTTGCATTTAAAATTACCTAAGTTAATAAGTCCCAAAAGGTGAAGCCGGTTGTGATTGAGATTTTGATTTTGATTGCGATTTTGATTTCTTTTGCTTGGCACCATATGAGATTTGGATTTGATTAGGATCCATTTTTTGGTAGAGGAAAAGATAATTGATGGCACTGGTGATCCAGGTCAACCTTGTACCACTTTCCTTGCACCGACTACATGTCGATATCATCTTCTCTTCACCCTTAGACGGTATATGATCGTGATTTTTTGGTCGGCCAGGTAGCCTACTATCCATGACTGGTGGCAAAACTATTTGTAAGTTATTTGGTATGTCCCACTCAGAAGGATGTGGACATGGGTAGACAATCTCGGCATAAGTCTGTCGATATACTTCTGTAGTGTAGCAATCCATAGCGTATGCGCTTGAATCATCTTGGTTTAGATGAAGAGCAACTTTATAACATGGCCACACGGATAACCAGATGTTTGCCATTTCTTACAATTACACGTCTTTGTATTTAGATCGACAAGCCCATTTAAGTTATTATCCAATACTTCAAACAAAGTGTTTGAACATGGTTCAACTCTCAATGACGTTGACTTCACAACACGTTTCATTATCTTTTTTTAGTCCATGGTGTAACACGACGTTCCAATGTTCCTGTAAATTTAAATAAATAATACTTAGTAAAATATATGATAAGTTACGAATTTAAAGAAATAATACATGCATGGTTTCTTTTCTAGTAGTACCACTGTTGAATAGAGGCTCGAAAAAACTCCATTAACATAGTAATAGGTAATTTTCGGGAATGACGACTTAGAGCGTTGATTGATTCTGCACTATTAGACGTAATGAAACCATATATTACTCCAAGTTGATGTACTCTTGACCATCTTTCAAACCCGACATCTTCTAGTGTTTGAGCACATTGAGGCAAAACACGTCTTAAATAATTTATATACTTATTAAAATCCACTTCCCGATAAGCTTTTACAGCCTTCCAGTATGTCCATTTGTGATTTTTTATACCAGCAGACCTTGATTTTAGATTTCTGTACAAATGAACACCACAAAGTCCATGAAAAACATCTGGGAAACACCTTCTAATAGCGTTGTCAATTGAGTTTGCCCTATCGGATATGATTGTCATATTGCTAATAGGACCTATGCAATCCCTAAGATGCCCCATAAACCATGTCTTATGAATCAGAGGTTTCAGATTTGCCAACCCCGTAAGCTATTGGCAGTATCCCATTGTTAGCATCCATGGCTACTACTAATAAGTTTACTCCAAGGTATCGACCTTTCAAATGTGCTCCGTCAACTATAATAACTGGGTGCATGCAAGTAATAAACGAACGAATCTACAAAATCATATACACAAGAAATATAATCATTTAAATGTGAAATGCATGCAACTAACAAAAATGAGTCAACAAAATTATAATTATTTACGAACCGCAGCACCAATGGAGATAAACATCAACTCAAAGCGTCTATCTCTATCTGTTTTGATATGAGTTACCGACCCAGGATTTTTCAGCTTTAAATTGTCACAATAAGCCGGCAGTTGGGCAAACGATGCTTCTAGAGACCCCCTCAACAATTCCAAGGCATAACATTTGGCTCTCCAAGCTTGAGAATATGAGATACTAATCTTGAACCGAGCATTCATGTCAGTCATAATTTCATGTCCCCGATATACCCTTCCATTCAAAAACATTAACTCAGCCAGAAAACCACCCAACACCTTTTTGTTTGCCTGTCTATGGTGAGGAAAAACTTGGGTTCTTGAACATGTATGTTTATCAATAAAAGTCCTAACTTGAACATTTCACAATCTTTTATCCTCTTTGCAATCATACGCCACGTACAATTTTTGTCAATCATACACTTTGTTTTGAAACGATATTTGCTTGATTCATTAACTTTTATTTGATATCCATCTTCCACACATTTTGTATACAAAGTTATCTTCAAGTCTTCCTTTGTATCAAAACAATCATCTTTCTTGATATGAATAACTTTTGTGTAACAATCAACTGTTATCTTTACCAACTCTTTTTCCGGTATCTGAAGTAATTCTGGCATATTCCAGTTATACTCCCGTGGCATTTTCTTCTTTTTCTTTTCTTCGGGGACTTCTTCTTCTTCATGGTTATATGAATTACAAAATGGATGTTCAACATGTTCATTCATAGTCGTAACTTCCTCCTCATTATCATCAACAACATCTTCCTCGGCAATGGCTGTTTCATCATCAAAATTCGGGTATTGACCAATATCAAAATCATTACATGCAGGGTCTGTTTCTTCTTCCATCACATCATCAAAATCTGAGTATTGACCAGGATCAAAGTCCGGGTATTAACCAAGATCAAATTTTGAATACTGACTAGTACTCATAATTTTTTCTGTTGGCTCATAATCGTCTAACTGGTCAATACGAAAACCAGAATTTGGTACTAAAAGTTGATTGGGATTTGAATTAGGAAAATGTTGTGGGTTTTGAGATTGTGTTTGATATTGTGTTTGGTATTGGAAATGTGGTGAAACAAAATTTTCTTGATGATGAAATTGTGGTGGAACCCTTAAATTTTGAGGTTGATAACAACGTTGTACAATGTGAGCACCATAAACTGGGGTTGAAGAACTTAGTTGATTACTACCCGCTACTGACCCAACTTCACTACTTCTAGGTTCAACAACATACAATGTAATATCATCTTCTTGCGAAACACTAATGTAAGCAATGAATCGTTCAACATCTTCATTGTCGGTTAACAAATAAACTTTACCTTTTCTCTAATAAGATAACCTAAATCCACTTAGAGGCTCTAAATTCAATTTCTTTGCAACACATAACATTAGAGTTTCATAAGTTAACTTTTTTAATGACAATTTTAGTTGAAGATTCATGGGTAAAGGCATATATTGTAAAACACCATGAACATTCTCCCATGACCCTCCAAAACACAAATCTATCCAAACATGATCAACATTAGATGATTTCATTCTACAAATTGTAAATTAATTTACTAAACAAACGAGCTATAAACTAGATATCATCACTAACTTAGAGAAAAGCATACCTTTATTAAGTTGATAGTTGATAATTTGGGAGATAAATCATTGAAAAATTATATAGAAATAAAATTATGTAAAAAAAAGAATGCCGTTGGATATAGAAACGAATTTCGCCGGAGAGAGTGATAGATGAAGATGGAATGAGTTGCGATTTAGGGATTTAGATTATGAGTTGCTGCTGTTGCGTTGTTATATACCCAAAATATTTGTGTTGCGAAACTAAAACCTGTTGCGAATTCGAAAATCTAGTTGCGAATTTGAAATTCAGTTGCGAATTTGACTTTTGTGTTGCGAATTTGACTATCGCGTTGCGAATTTGACTTCTGTGTTGCGATTTACAGATTCGCATTGCGATTTACAGATTCACGTTACGATTTACAGATTCGCATTGCGATTTACAGATTCGCGTTGCGAATTTGACTTATGTGTTGCGATTTACAAATTTGCGTTGTGAAATTGGAAACTAGGTTGCGAAATTTGAGTTCGCGTTGCGAATTTGTTGGTCATTTTGGCAAATCCAAAAAAAGTTGGTTAAAATCGTATATTATAAGTCATTTTCGATCACTGAGGTTATTTTCTCTTTTTTCAATAAGGCAAATTGTTCCTTGTATTTCTTATCTAGCTGGGGAATACCGCTCCTCATCATTTGACCAGGTTTGCTCCACCACAAAGGAAAACCAAAACCTCCTGGTAACTTCTGAGTCACCTCAATGAATTTTGAGCGCTTCAAACACAGTTTTTGCTTGATAGTCCAATTTATAATGGGTTAACTAATAGCGAGTCCCTTCGCATGTCTCCTTGTAAAATTTAAAAGACCCACATGGTATGGCAAATTTAAATCTACTCTCAACCAGTCATATTTATTAAGTATGTCAACCTACGAGTAGTTATCATGACCCTACGCCTGACACTAGTACTAAAAGAATGAATTGCCTAGCGTGTCACAACCCCAAATATTACATTCAACAATAATGATATGGAGTGACAAAGAATCAGAGGCTAATGACTATGGTGATAAGAGTCAAATAGACAACTACGTTATATATGCGACATCAGTTGCATCTCGTGTTGACAATTCATCTAACTATGGTAGTAAAGATGTAACAAACAATGATTGTGATGGGTTTTCTTTGACAACATATAATTCATCTAACTATGGTGGTAAGGATGTAACAAACAATGATTGTGATGGGTTTTCTTTGACAACATAAAAGTAATATATCAAGAGATGGTGAAAAAAATGGGATTTGTTAATTGAATTGAATCATGCCTTGAAAGATGAAAAAATATAATTGTGAATTATTTGCAGCTTCAAAGGAGAAAGATGACAAGCTTAGGTTATTGATAATGAGACGGGTAATAAGAAGCTTACATGCTATTATTGTGGGAAAATTTGACATATAAGGTTATACGTTGATGGATAACAGAAGGAGAAAACAGAACTGTAACATCCTCAATACCGGGTTAGTGACTAAATTGTAAAGTCTCAGAATTTGGTGGTTAGAATAAAATGAATGAATAGTATAAAGATTTACTTGTAAATTATTGTGTAGGATGGAATTGAAAGGAATAAGGAATGGAAGGACAATAGAGTAATTGCAAGGAAAAATAATTAAAGAAATGACAAGTATATATATATATATATAAGGATACACGTGGGTGGAAGGGGAGAAAACACCCAAGGCTTCCAGAGTTTTCTTCTTCTTCTTTCTTCCTTGTGCGTGTGAACCAAAGCAAAGGTAAGATTTCTGATTATTGAGTTTCTTGTTAAATTTAAGATTGGTTTTTGATTATTAGATGATAACTAAGCTTAAGGAAAGCTTAAGTTATCTTAACATCAAAGGATGATGAAGTTAAGAGAGATTTAAGATTTGAAGTTCTTAAATGAAATCTTGGAATAGAGTTCATAACTAGAATTGAAAGTTAAATTTGACTTGTCATCAATCTAGTTAAGATATTCGAAGTGTTAAAAGTGGAATTCAAATATGTTGAATTATTGATGTAATTCTTGAATTACATATGAATGATAGGATTTAGAGGTTTAAGATGAAATAAATGAGTATAAATTGGTTTAAGGATGTGTACTAGAGTTAAGAATGAAAAAGGGGATTAAACATGAAGGATTTAATCCAAAATGAATGAATTTTCGGGTTCTAAAAGAGGATTCTGGGCAGAGTGCATCGATGCATATTCATAGTGCATCGATTCATCAAGGTTAAAACCCAGAAATTGTTTGAAGGTGTATCGATGCACAGGTAGTGCATCGATGCACTCTTTTAAAATAAAAAGATCGAATGCAATTAGTGCATCGATGCATAAGACATGCATCGATGAATTCCATTAATAATAAAACATCGAATGCATTTTATACATCGATGCACAAGTAATGCATCGATGCATACCTTCATTAAAAGAGGAAATTGGCATTTATCTTAATCTAAAGAGTGAACCATTAGAGTATATTAGCTATAATACTGATATAGATTTATGTGTGATTATGTAGATACTAAAAGTAAGCTTATTCCGGAACGATCAAAGGATTAGAATCGAATCAAAGCAAAGCTAAGGTGAGTGCATACTATATGTATAGTATAATGGAATAAGACTTGTGATAAGTCTAATCCCTATATTGATTTTCATAGTACAATAGTTGTGAACATGCATAATGATAATTATTGTAATACATGCATAAGGCATATATATGTTCATGTGATTGGGTAAATGATGTATATATATGAATATATTCAAATACACATGTGATATGATATGTGATATGAGAACATGACATGAAGTAAGTAACATGAGCTACATGATCACAAGAGAAATGACATGAGTACATGAACATATGAAATATAAGAATAATGCCATAGTATAAGATATGAGAGTTATAGGTGTAATTGGCATGCCAAGAGTAGAGGGTATAATAGTCATTCGGGACGTAGTCCTTCGGGATGTAGTGGCCCTACGGGACATATATAATAGTCATTCGGGACAAATACTGAACTAAGGTTCGGTGTCCCATGAGGGAATTGATACGAGCTGTGGTGACAACATTAGTGCACAACCTCAATGTACTCACATACCTCTATTCTCAATAATATATATGGGCAATTAAAATACAAAGTAAAGTGAAAGTGGTACAAGAAGGTAAGTTTCATACATGCATGATATGATTATATATGTTATTGTGTAATAGATACATGCATGTTGAAATGTCATGAAGGAAATAGTAAGAATGCATATTCATGAAGATATTGTTGCATATTCATATATTGTCTCACTAAGTCTATGACTTAGCGTGTAAGTGATTTACACGTAGGTACCAAGAAATAAGAAGATTTAGAATAGAAGTGGCACGGACAACAATATATTACTAAGAAATCAGATCATAAGTAATTGACAAAGTAGGTATTTTGTTGTGTATAGAGTGTTGGTATATAATAAGTAGTTAATTACGAATGCTCTGATCGATTTTGTATTAAGTGGTCTCTTTTATGTAAATTAAAGTATTTTATTTTAATGAAAGTTTTAAATTTCTCTATTTTTTTAAGAATCCAAGTTTGAAAAGTTAATGTGACATCTCGGACTTGTATTCGGGTTGAATATGAGTTAGGGGTGTTACATTTAATGGTATCAGAGCTACGGTTTAGTCGATTATCGGCACAAACCGGAGTCTAGAGTGTCTGATAATGTATACATACCAACAAAATAGTGGAAACTTCTGATCTGATGGAATAGTAAGTATGATGTTTTGCTAATAGAATTATATGGTTGTATTTTTATAGATGTTCGGACGAGGTAGTTTTAGGAATGAAGCGGGAGATGATAGACCCGTTTGAAAGCAGTAATTCACCTGCCCTGGCCAGGCAGAGTGAAGAACAGACATCTTCTGGAATGCCTGGAAATGATCAAGATATATTCTTTAGAACGTTAGACGCGGTATTAACACGTTTCCAACCTCCTGTTACCTCAACTCCAAAAATCAATATTGCGAAAGAGTTGAAGGGATTAGGAGCTCCAGCGTTTAGAGGGGAAGCCGATGAAGGTCCTGTTACTGTGGACCTTTGGCTTAATGACGTGAAGGTCATGCTTACGGGACTTCATTGTTCCGATGCTGAGAAGCTGGATGGAGTAATTTCCTTGTTGAGAGGACAAGCAAGGATCTGGTGGATCAATGTTACATTGAGGATGTCTAACGCCTAAGTAACTTGGTCATTGTTTTTAGAAGAATTGAAGCATAAGTACATCGGAGATCAATTTGTTCGTCAAATAAAGTAAGAGTTCATGAATCTGAAGCAATGGAATCACACTCTATATGAGTACGAGTGTGAATTCAATAAGTTAAGTTGCTTTACTGCCGAGCTAGTTCCTACGGAGAAGGATACTTGTGAGTGGTTTGTAGAGGAGTTACGCCCTCGGTTGAAAAAAAAATGATAATTGTCTTGAATTTATACTCGTTTCAAGAGGTAGTCAACCGTGTCAAGGCTCTGGAAAGAGCTCAGAACGAGAAGTTTAAAAATTCAAGAGCTCATACAGTCAAAAGAACGGGT